TGGGGGGAAAAGGCAGCATGGGGTTTTTGTGCGTTCTTTACTGCATTGGGGTGCTATTAAAAAATGGTTATTATTAATGCATGATAGTGTGGTATTGGGTGCAATGAAAAAAGTGTAAAGAACCAAAAAGCAACACCATGTAACATGGGTTTTTAAAACTCAAGTGAGGGCACTGGGGAGGGGGCTAGCATTGGAGAGAAAAGTGTGTTTGCAGCAAAAGGTGTTTTTTTTTTTTTTTTTTTTTTTCTTGTGCCCAGAGCAAAAAAAACGTTTTTGCTAAAATACACCCCTTGTCTCCGGTGTACCCCCCCCCCCCCCCTTCCTCAGCACCCCCTTCCCTCTAGATGCCCTCAGTCTTTTGGGCCCAATGATACCCAGTGTCTTTCAGCCTGGAAGGTGAGGGCATACGTGAGTGCGGGAGTGATAGACTCGTCTGTTTTTACTCACATGTGACGATCGCAAAATGGTGCTGATGTCATTACGGTGGTACCACTTTCTGCATCGAGGAATACTTTAAGCCTGGGTAACAATCCACCAAGAAAGTGGACCCCACTTGTTAATTGTCCTTCATGAAAGCTTTGGGAAAAGTACATGTGTACACAGTTTTGGCACAGTAAAAGTGTTCTCTTCTGCTGTGTTTTGGCAGGTGGAGCATGCTGCCAAATGCGACCTTAGTGCATGGGACTTCACTGGAGGCCTTCAGTGATTGGCAAAGGTGGTGAGGGGAGGCAACATATTGCTTCCTGTCAAATAACTCTAAAAATCAGTCCACCGCAATCACCTTTCAGAGGGTGGTAAATTTAGCCACAAATTTAAATAAGCAAAAAGCAGGGTATATGCATTGAGTTTTATTTTTCTTATTGTCAACCAGTTGGGTTGAACGAAAGGAAAAACTGACAGATCCCCGCATCCACACAAGCAAGTGGATGCAGGGTTCTCCTGCTGTGCTATTGTACGCTGGCAGCGGGTACTTCCCAACCCGACCCACCCTGGTCAGAAAACATTGATCAGCTCTATAGCCACTGACAACATTATTTACAATTGAAAGGCTTTTTTAAATTTTAAATAGTTTGGGAAAATGTTGATCTTTTTAATAGCTATTGGTGAAAATAAAATACTTAAATCCATTTTATTTCCCAGATGCAACACTATAAAATGTGGAGAAATCTAAGGGTGTCTATTAGTTATACAAGCCACTCTGAATGTGGAATGCCAATAAGTCATTTGGTTTGCTTTATTGTTTATATTTCTGCTGCTTGTCTGTCTATTTGCAGAATACTGATGGATAAAGCAGAAATAGAAGAGCTGGAAGAAATGCTGGTATGTGACCATAAATTATATAAAAAAATATACTTGGTAGACAGAGAATTAGAAACTCCCTTTAAAGGCATTCTACACCTTCCTACTGGCACCCTCCTTGTGTTTTTCACATGCATAAGATGTGCACTGATCATGTAGTTTCATGGTGTCATTTGTTGGCCTGTATGCAGAGTTTAGGGTAGAGTAAATCATATTCTGTGTCAGAAGTTTCTGTTTGTGTTCAAAAGGAGGCATGCAGCATGGCACTGTACAGGATAGGGAAGGTAAAGTGTGGTCTTTTTTTTTACACCCCCCCCATATAGTCAAGATTGACATTGATTGTTGTACCCCACTATTGTATTGTGATAAAAGTTGTTGTATTGTGGACTGGTAAGTTTTGGTTAATGTCCTGACATTCCCTACTTCTCCACAGGATCCTACATGGGAGGCATTTTTAGCTGCTTTTGTGTTTTGAGCTATTCATTGTGACCCTTAGAACAGTCCAACAACTTTGTTCTTAGTAAGCCACCATGAAACATTGGAGGTGCACACAGCAAATTTCTAGCATGCTCTGAAAACTATTAATCCAAATGGTCAAAACAAGATCTCTACAATTAAGCCCAAATATGTGTCAGAGTGTAGGCTTCCAAATGGAGTCTTGTCTTCCTCCTATATCAGTAAAGTTTTTGAGGATTCCGGCTATACGTGGTGTGTGTGGCTAGATTTTTTCACGATGGCTTTGCATGTGGGGGGAATGAGCTCAGATATTGAACTAGTGCCCACTAGTTGGAGGTAGTATGGTTTATTTATTTTGTTTACCACCACATTTGGTGGTGGTACTGCTGCGAGTGTTAATCGGATGCTGGTTTTCCAGCATGTCCCTTTGACAAAAGCTGGTCCTTAGACTGGCTTCTTTTGGAAGGACAACTGTACACATGATCTGAATGTTAGGACCGCGTGTACCCAGCTTAAGGGTAAAGGTTCCACAGACCTTGGATTAGTGTTCTCACCAAATCAGACATGATCAGATGAGCCAAGCTGTGCTGTCTGTGTTATGGATGCAGGCAGCATGGCTTGGGATGGAGCCTGCAGGTCTGCCACAGAAGGAAGCAGCTTCCTATGGTGGCACACAAGAAGAGTGGGAGCCAGGAGCACCAACAGGGGACCCCAGAACAGCAGGATCAGGGCTGCTCTGCAATTCTTTCTATAACAAAAAAAAAAAAACCTTTTACAATCACTTAAGTATTGACAAAAGCAGATTTGTGTGTTTTTTTTTTCTTGTTTGTTTTTTTTTTTTTTTTTAAATACATTAACCTTGATTTTAGACTATTGATAATGGTTTCTCTTTGTTCTTTTGCAGAATTCTATGGCAGTAAAGTAGGACTGATGCAATGAATCTTCATGCTGTATGGACCTGTTTTTGAACTAACTCGACAGTCATTTTGGCTATGCCTGTAGTAATTGGCTGATATTCAGTCCTGTACTGGTACACCTAACAGTAACTTTACACTTGGACACAGGTGATTTGTGCATCTCTGTACAGTGCTTTTGGTCTTTATAATTGGGCAAACAGTTCATTCACTTAGGCAAAAAAAAAAAATTTGAATCTTTTGTCAATATTTATTAATCACAGTTGTATAATTTACAAATAAATACTGGTTGTATATCACCACAGTCTTCCATCGGCGTAATTAAAAGTTTAAGTCCCTTGGGTTGTCAATTCTCAATGCTGAGGGAGAAGATGGGCAGTATTAAAACCACTCAATGGTGAAATAAAATCGGGTGCAAGGACATGTTGGTAAAAGACAAGGAGGGGAGTGAGTGGGTTGACTGGGCATGTCAGAGAGGATGTAGTGAGTATTTTTCTGATGTAGCAGATACGTCAGAGGAGGGCACAGAAAAACTTCTTTTCCCTAAATGGGTTTTCAGAAGTGGGCACTGGAGTGATGAGTGGATCTTCACACGCGTGAGCATCGCAGAATGTCATGAGGTCCGATGCTGCCTTTGAGACCTGTAGGGACAGAACAGTATAGGAGTTGTTTTCTTTTTGTATAGAAGTTGTTTCCTTGTATGTCACATAGCATGTTGAAAGACTATCATCTATAATAAGATACTTCCCACTAAAGGCAGTGGATAACAGACCAATACTAAAAATGAAATCTTTTCCTAGACAAATGTTAGGCTGGCCACAGATACCTTGTTGCAGGTGTATGTTTTTTTTTTTTTTTTTATTATTATTATTATATATCATATAGCAGGCTGATTGGGGGAAAAAAATGGATTCCCTGTTCCACACACGAGGTGAATATTGGAATCCTCCCTACTGTGCGATTGCATTCTGACAGTAGGACTCCTCCGCTGTCAGAATACACTGATCAGTGATTACAGCCACTAATCGAAGTATATTTCCAGCAGTCCAGTTTGACAGAAGTTGATCATTTCGATCCACTTCTGTCAAGCGGGAACAGTCATAGATGGTTCAAACTTCAGCCGGTCCCTTCTACACTGGACGAATTTCGATCTGGCTGTGGTCAGCTTTAGAGAAAATGCTATGCCGTTCCTGTGGTGAGTTTCTTTAGCTGTCCTATAAGGGCAGGTAATAGAAAGATCCCACCAGACTTGAATGGCTAGGACTGATTTGACTGACTAAATGTCAGAAATTTCACACAGACTTGCAGATCTCATAGACTGAAGAAGTAGCTGGATGACCGTGGATCTCACAAGCCCCTTTAGAAGGGTGAATTCGTGGGCCCAAGTGGATATGTGACCTTACTCGCTGAAACATGTTAAAATGCAGAAAGAGCACACCCATCCATTTTACATATTGGTTGACAGTTCTTCATGTTATCAGTTTTAGTGAAGCAGTTGAAAGGAACCTGTGGTCATCATCACACTAAGCTGAGGTGTGAAAATATGCTCTGAGTACAGCACCTGAGTGTACTGGGTACATTCTTGTTTACAGACTTTGCATCCAATCCGCATATATGTGAAGGGGCACTTAAGCATGTATGTGAAACTGATAAAAGCAGTTTGAACCACACCCAGTCCGCATGACATGTGAAATAACATTGCTTCCTATGGTCCCTGATAACGTATGGCTGGTGCAGATTCAGTGCGTTTTTTAAAGAGTCATGTTCGATTTCTGAGCAGTTCAGTCTGGTTCAGGTACAAATTACAAGCTATTGACTTCTATGGGAACCTTTCCAAAACCACATATGTGTGAACAGGATAAGATCCTGAGCTAATCCTGTCCTGAACCTGATGTAAACGTGAACCTGTGAACAACTACTGTATCAATTAGTTGTAAAACCTGAGCTACAATCCGTACCGCACGTGTGTATCCACTCTAAAGGTAAACTATTCACAGGCTAGTAAACTAGCATATGGTGACAACAGATGTGCCTGCTTTGAAGGCTACTAATTCGCTCCAGCAAGGGTATAATTTTTTCAGTTTACCATTGGCAAGATGGTGGAAGTCTACTTTGGGATCAAACTGAAGTGTGCTTAATATCCAGTTTATTTACAATATAGAAAAAACAGGCCCTTATCTGAAACCGTTTACTGCTATAGACTGGAAACAGTTCTTCCAAAAATGTACATCATAAACAAGAAGACAAACCAAACAGATATTTATAATGCTTATTTCTTGGTAAGTTTTTTTGGTTGGAGTAATAGTTGTGCTCATATGTTATTTTACCAAGGCAAATATATATATATCATTTGGTGTTATGAGACTAAAATTTAATCTTATGGTCATAACGATAAACACTACATTTGCAGAGGAGTCAACAAGGTCTTGAAGATGAGCACACCATCCCTACTGTGAAGTATGGTGGTGGACCTCATGTGGTTTTTTTTTTTTGGTTTTTTTTTTTGGGGGGGGGGGGGGGGGGTGTTCTGTAACCTAGAATGGCAAGGTGTGTTAGAAAAAAAAAACAAAACGAAAAAAACCCCACTCACTATGCCTTTGCTGGGCTCTGCATTTTTGTCGTATCAGAAAGGGACTGGATACATTTATGGGTAATCTTTATAACTGGGCTCATTCCCTTCAGAAGGCTTTAGCTGATTTAAGAAGTCTGGTACAAAATGCTTGATAAAGCAAAACCTGGTTTGAACAAAACTTTCAAATGATAACCAACTTAAAATTACTATTTATCATCTGTAGCAGGCTTTGTTCATACATGTAGCTAAGGGGCAGTAAACACAGGCAAGGGATATGCAGTTTTACCACCCCCCCCCCCCCCCCCCCCCCCCCCCCCCCCGCCTGAACCTGGGCTTGTGGCTACTCAGGGCTGTACACATGCTGTGACAAAAATGAAAACGTGCATTGCATTCAACAGCCAACCGCAACCAATGCAAGTCTGTGAAGCTGCGCTTCAGTAGCGTGACATTTCTAGACTTAAACCAGGTGGTGAAAAGGCAACATAACACCTCCTCAATGCCTGTCAAATGCCCTTAGAAGAACAGTCAAACGTGGATCACACTTCAGAAGGCATGCACGTGTTAATGAGCCCTCAAAGATTTAGATGCAGTGTCCTGAGGTATGTGTGACCTACTGCAAAGAAAATAATTAACAAAATTAAAATCTGTGTTCTTTAAATAAAACCAGAAAAAGCCTAACATTTGGGTATATGTGGCATCATGTACATGGCGTTCTTTACGGTTTTGTTTTTTTTTTGTCCTCAAGTGTTTGCATGAGTACAGCCATTTGCAGAAGAGAGCTGGGGATTTTACACTTTGACACAGAAGCTGATTAAAATAGAACTCTACTCTCTGAATCAACATTGACTATTTTTAATATTTGTGCTGCTATCCTTGGTAAATGGATAGGAAGGTATAATAAATATATATATGTATTTTTTGTTTTTTTTACATTTCTCCAACTACTTTGTGGTTTCTGGCCTAGGCAAATGTCATACATCCCAGGAATCTTCAGGAGGGGTTTTATCAGCTAAGTACACCCTCCTGCCTGAATGCCTGCGCTAAAGGGCAGATGGATTCCAGGAAGTAAATGCTATATGAGTCATCTGCTCTTACTCGAGATGGCCGTGACTAGAAATGCTAGCGGGTGGGTTTCGAAGCAGTTTCTCAGCAAAATAAAGCATGGAGACATGGATGAATGGGGGAGTCTGCTTTGAATATTAAAAATGAATTGAATAGTTTTGGTTATCCAATGCAGTGTGGTTCCACTTTAAGGCCTGATTTTGCGAAGTAGGTTTCTCTTGTTCTTGTATTGTTTACTTGCATAGAACTGCAAAGAAACTAATCTTTAACCAATACGCAGCAAAGCCTACTCTGCCTGTCACTGCCTTGTCATTAAAGTGTTAAATTGCTGACCAGTACCCTGAAAATGCTGACAGCTCAACTAGAGATTTAAAGGCTGAGAAAGGCAATGGAATCAGTCAGAACACATTATGTTTATTGTGATCCTGTCCAGCACTTAATCACTGCAGCTTTGTATTCCTTTTTTTTTTTCTTTTTGAATTGGGTAGGCAGTGTATAATGTCTGATTATATAAAAACATAGAAAAACTGCAAGAAAAAAAAAAATGCTGATCAAGGACAATTGGAATTATCATGATAACATGTTCCAAATGGGTTCAACATCGAGTCTATTTACCAGAAACAAAGAACTGCTCTGCCTGGAAATATACCGGCTTATAGTTTTAAAAACTATTTTTTGAACATTGGATTATACACAAAAGACGCAGCCAACATTACAGGGTATACATACTTTAATACGACACATAGATGCTTCGATTTTTAGCTGCTCCACAAGCTTTCTGGCCTGCCCAACGCTTAGTGTGCTGTTCACAGGGGTGTCCCCTTTCATTGTGCTGCCTAAATAAAGAGAAATGTGTAAGTGGTCTGTTTACTCACGTAAATGGCTGAGCTGAGAGTTTTGCCCCCTCTAAACAGAAGAGAAACGATACAACACAACTATGCCCCTTATACAGTAGTATCATAAAGCACATATTGATAGTATGGGGAGGACAACATTTGTCATTTTGTGAACATAGCCAACATTAAATTTTAACTCTTGAAAATAGGATATTAAGAGAATACACCAGAACTTATTTTCCAATGACTGCTATTTTTTGTCATATATCAAATCTGCTGGCATAACCCATCTATGTAATCTACAGCTGATTAAAAAAAAAGGGATAATAAAGGACTTGAGTTATTGGGGTCATATCCTCTGTGCTTCCTTATCTTACAACTATCAAGGCATGGATACCGTTCTACAGATCTCATTGAATGACATACTGAATGTGTTAGTGCAGAACTTTTTGAGAGATAACATGGGTTGATTAAGAGGTGACTAATATGCTTGATAATTTTTATTCACCTTCTTACCCTGTGCATTTGATATCTGAATGCACAGTTATCAGCTCTGGTAATTGTCAGCCATATACACTGATCGGCCATAACTTTCTGACCATGAACCTAACATGGAGTAAATCCCTTTTGCCACCAAAACAGCCCTGACCAGTCACGGCATGGACTCCACTAGAGCTCTGAACGTGTGCTGTGGTATTTGGTACCAAGCCGTCAGTAGCAGATCCTTTAAGTCCTGTAAGTTGCAAGGTGGGGCCTCGATTGATCAAACGTATTTTTTCCAGCACATCCCACAAATACTCGATTGGATGGAGTCAACACCAAAAACTCGTTGTGTTCCTCAAACCATTCTTTAACCATTTTTTGCAGAATGGCAGAGCATATCTTCTTGTTGAAAGAGTTCACTATCATCCCGCAATACCATTTCCATAAAGGGGTGTACTTGGTCAACAACAATATAGGTAGGTGGCATGTGTCAAGTAATGTTCACATGAATGACAGGACAGAAGATTTCCAGCAGAGAATTGCCCAAAGCTTCCAACTGCCTCTTCTGGCTTGCCATCTTCCCATACTACATCGTGGTGCCATCCTTCCCCAGGTAAGTGATGCGCACACACGTGGCCATCCACATGATGTAAAAGAGTAATTTATCAGTCCAACCACCTTCTTCCATTGCTCTGTGGTCCAGTTCTGCTACTCACATGCCCATTGTAGGCTCTTTTGGCTGTGGACGCTGGTCAGTGTGGGCACCCTGACTGGTATGTGGTTATACAAGCCAAACACAACCCGTATTTCCTGCTTTCAACACATCAACCTCTTGGACAACATGTTTACTTACTGGTTACCTGCTTCCCTGCCGCCCTATAGCAGATATACTGCTACAGGGGTGCACAAAATCATGTATATATACGTGATTTTGCATTTCCAGGTAGGGGGTGCCTGCGCCCTACCCGCGCCACCATTCGTGGCCGCAGCTGTCAGTCACTGGGCCCCGGTAGGTGATTACCGAGGATCTTCGATGGGGATGAGGGCTGCTTTGTTTACTAACAGTCGTCCTCCCTGTCGGCTTGGGCACACTGCTCTGGATGACTCAGCACAGCCATCCAGAGCAGTGTGCTTACAGTGAAGCACAAACACACTGCCTCCCAGTAAAACACACCCAGCACACAGTTAACCCTATGATTGGCTCTCATGTTAACCCCTTCCTGCCCAGTACCATTAGTACAGTGCTTTTTTTTTTTAGCACTGATCACTGTATTGGCGTCAACAAGCCAGTGTCAGAATGCCCGCTGCAGTCCCGCTATAAGTCACTGATCACCATCATTATTAGAAAAAAAAAATTCCAGTATCAATACTGCCATTTGTAAACGCTATAACTTTCACGTATACCAATTAATTTGCACGTATTGGGATTTTTTATATTTAGCAAAGACGTAGCAGAATACATCTGGCCTAAATTTATGACTAAATTTGATTTTTAACATTTTTTTACTGGACATGTTTAATAGCAAAAAGTAATATTGTTCTTTTTTTTATAGCTCGAAAATAATAAACGGACAGGCGATCAAATACTACTGAAAAAAAGCTCAATTCGTGGGAAAAAAAGGATGAAAATTTCATTTGGGTGCAGCGTTGCATGACTGCGCAATTGTTCAGTTAAAGTAACGCAGTATCGCAAAAAATGGCCAGGTCAGGAAGGGGAGTAAATCCTCAGGAGGGCAAGTGCTTAATATATCCCACAGACTTTCAGATGCCATTTTAATAGGACAATCAATGTTATTCGCTTAATCTGTCAGTGGTCATAAAGTTATGACTGGTTGGTGTTTACACATAAACCAGTGAGTGCCAGGGTTGGTATAATCTGCAGGTACATGAGCACCTTACATTGGGATTGTGTGGTGCACAAAATAAAATGTGAGCTTGTATAGCCAAATACACTGTACAACTGGATTGTCAGATATCTTATGGGTTAACACAAATTTTAGGAAACTTTTTTTTTTTTTGCTGCTGCTGGTGGCACTTTTAAACTCCTGTCCACTAAATACACACCTGAAGCCCAGTATGTATGATGATGTGAATTATTGATAAAAATGTATCTTCCATTTTGCTTGAGGTGATTGCAGCCGTATTAGTGCATTTGCGACAGAAACAATTGAGTACTGTCCGTGATACTTTTTTTATTTGCACTAACATACAATTTTGAGGACAAGCTTTCAGGGTATGTCCCCTTCTTCAAGGTCTAAGCAGTACTATTACAAATCACAAAGTTTAGGCAGAATGTTAGAAGGGATTGGATTGACCCCCTCTGTGTGAGTGTTGTATCCCCCCCTCGCTTTTGATGTATCTTATCTGTAGCCTTTTTTTTTTTTTTTTTCTCAATCCCTTCTAACATTCTGCCTAAACTTTGTGATTTGTAATAGTACTGCTTAGACCTTGAAGAACGGGACATACCCCGAAAGCTTGTCCTCAAAATTGTATGTTAGTGCAAATAAAAAAAGTATAACGGACAGTACTCAATTGTTTCTGATAAAAATGTAAAATTGAATCTAAAAAAAACTCATTGGTCAGGTCCCGTGCTCGGACTTTAGAAACTCTTAAGCTTTTCCTTGCTATAACCTCAAAGCCTTGATAGGACATGTTTATGCACTTCAATGAGGAGCGTACTTCGTGAATGGTGGGTTACTGACCGGAAATTCCACAGTGCATTTCTTTGGCAGACTGGCACTACTAACTTGCTTTGAACAAGATTTGGTCAGTGGAGCCTATTCAGTGCATGAGCTGAAAGTTTAAAATTCTCCTGGATCAATGTATGTCCTACTTTTACCCAGGCCCCACTCCAACACGGGGAGATTTGCTAAAGCTGGTACACTTTTGGTTTGGAGTTTGGTTCAGCTGTGCATGGTAGCCAATCAGCTTCTAACTTCAGTTTGAACAATTAAGCTTTGACAATAAAATCTGGAAGCTGATTTGTTTCTTTGCAGAGCTGTACCAGATTTTGCACCATGCAGTTTTAGGCTCCATGTACACGGGACACTTCTGAACGATGGAAACTGATTGCTGGAAAACGTAGGTTAAAAAATGTCTGTTTAGCCATGTTTATGACGTTTGTGTTTAGAAGCGTTTTTTAAAGATAACCTCAGGAGATCTTCCAGAATGCCCAGAATGCACTGAAAAACAGTAAAAAATTAACTATTTCAGACATTTTGAGAGAAATAAAGCAGAAGCAGAGAGAGCAGTATTTGTTGAGATTAGCTGTCTTTTTTTTTTTTGGTGTTTGGATGTGTTCCAGCTCATTTTCGTGCAGCAATTATTGCAGCAGTGTCTAACATTTTCTTTCATGCGAAAGAAGGACTCTGGACAGCATCTGGAAATGGAAGAGTTAAAAAAAACTTCCAAATGCTTATAAACACGGTTAGCTGTGTTTACACGCGTTTGGCATTTGAAACGCTGATAAAATCTCCTGAATGCAAGTTTGGTGAGTTAAAAAAAATGACTGTAAACTCAACTGTCTGTAAATGACGATGTGTACATGGACACATAGGAAACCTTTAGGGAGAGTTCAGGGGCTGCTGAAAAAAAAAACGCAGAAAAGCTTCTAAACGTGCGTTTATCAGCTGCAATGTACATGGAGCCTTAGTAATACCTCCCAAAGGTTTGTGAGCAGTTTTTCATATCCAGTGTTGTTCATTCATTCACTGAGGGTGGTATTACTCTTCTCATTAAATATGCCGAACTTTCTATACCCCACTCCCTTATTACCAATGTGTTGCTAAAGTGCAAAATACTACCCTACCACAATATACTTCTAAGGCAAGTGCAGAAACTGATTCCTGATGATAGGTATTATCATTTGTGTCGGTGGACCCCTTCACATCTCTCTGTTTCATTGCCATATACACCGTGGCACATTTACAAGGTGCATTAGGATGCCATGGAAAATGAACAGCAATGAGCAGTCGATCTTCCTCTGTGGGTAAATGTTCGTTTTAACTTGTGCTACTGCAACACAAAGCCAGCCTAAAGTAAACCATTCTGAAAACATGTTGAGGCTGCCATTGCTGACTTGTCATTCCGGAAATGTTGATTCTCTGACTGTCAGTCCTGGTTCACACCGGTGCGACTTTTCATGCAATTTGACAGTTTCAGATCGCATGGCAAGTCGCACCTTATTGTCAGTACTGGAACTGTTCAAATCAGTGTGACTCTGACCTTGCAATATCGCACCAATTTGGAAAAAAAAAAAAAAGGTTCCTGTGCTATTTTTTTGTGATTTCAGGTGCGAATTACATAGACATCTGTGCATGAAGTCAGCCATGTTGCACCTGAAATCCCACTGACCTGTGGCTTTGAGATCATGTGACTTAAGTGAAATCACATGATTGTAAAGTTGGGTTCAGCGTGAACCACGGATAAATCTCCTGAGTCAAATGTATAAACTAGGATAAGAACTTCTGACCTAATCTGATGTGCATATTTATTCCACACCACTGACTTCAGTGGGTCAGCATAACAGCCAGGCAACTACATTTTTTATAAAGAGGTCAGCGACAGCCGCCCCATATTTCTCTCAGGACAGGCTTCATTGTGTATGTAATGTATTGTTCATGTACAGTACATCTGTTCCCACAGCATCAAAAGTAGGATTGGTAGCGGCAGTGCTTTTTGTTCCATGGCCTTCCGTGCTCCTAACACAGGGCTGTCCAACCCACGACCCAACACAAAATTATAAACGTACTTAAAAATGCTGATCATTTTTAAAAAATGTTTTTGTAAAAATGCATTTACACTTAGTGGATGAAGAAAAATTTGGCAGTGTCTGTTTACTGGACCTTTATAATTTTTATCTTTCCCAAAGAAAAATATCTCACTCTTCACAATCACACCTTATTCATGTTATCAGTTTTCGGCAGCCTTTATATTTGGGAGCAACTATTTTCAAGGATGAAGCACATGAAGGGCAAAATTAGAACCAAAATATCTGACGAGTACCTTGAGAAGTCATTGAGAATTTCGTCAAACTGGATATCAATGAGTTCGTTTTTTAAAAAGTGTCAAATATCACACTAGTTTTATGTTGCCCACTTTTATTATAAATTTAAAAAAAAAAATGAAGTTTTATTACTCAGGTCATTATGTATATCAGTGATTTGTGATCTGCCTGACTTTTTCTGCTTACCAGCTATCCTTTTTGTTAGTGTATTTTATGCGTGGCCCAAGACAATTCCTCTTCTTCCAATGTGGCCAAGGAAAGAAAAAAAGGTTTGACACCCCTGTTCTAACACAAAAAAAACAATAAATGATATAATTTCTCAGTTTTATTTTTGTGCCTTGTTCTATTTGAAACAAAATATATATGTGCTTCCAGAGGTGCACACAACAGAATAGGTTGAAAAAAAAAGTCTAAGGGTTTGGTCATGGGTGTCCTCTGAAATGCTTCAAGAGACCCATAAAAGACTCTGTCCATACAGGAGCAATTATATCTTGGTGGCTTCCTGAAAAGGTTTGATTCAACAACCATCTGTGCAGTGTGTTGATGTGTATTCAATATCCAGCACACAAACATACATGCTCTTATAAAAGCTTTTGGCGGGGCTGGCAGACCATGTCAACATCACACCTGCCCAAAGCATTTAAAAATACAGATGCATACAGTAGGTGTGAATCCAGCCCCTGTGTTTAAAGTGGAACTAAACTCACCTCCCATCACTCCCTCAGTATCACCGACATCTTCACTGGCTCCTCCTCTGGGTTTGGGACCTTTGACCATCTTGATTGGCCAGGCTAGAATGACATAACTCCAGCACATGGACTGGGAGTTCATTCATTTTGGCATCAAGGCATGCCGAAAATGTACAGTACAGCTCAGTGTACATTCTAAGGCTCCTTTCACATAGGCAAACTGATCATGCCCACCTGTCAGTTTTTCAGGTGGACCTCATCAGAAGGTCCATGTGTTCCAATGGACAGTAAATAGACTTGTATACATTTACACCCTCCTACCTCTGGGTCCGATCTGGTCTGCTAAACAGAACAAAAGGGATCCATCCTCTTCCATTTAGGTGGATTAGATTGGAGGGTAGTCGGGTGTAAACAGACAGTGGAGTCCTTTTATTCCCAGCCACCCACTGAGCAGAGCGAGCTCTGTCCAAGTCTACTCTGTGTAATGCCCTCTAGCTTAGCTAGGTAGGAATTTTTTTGTTAGAGGCTGAGTAGCAGCCTGGGATGAGTTAGCCTAGGAGTGAGGTAGTGAGGTCACCTCAGGACACATCAGGGCTTCTGGAGCCCTCGCACCTTTCTAGAGAGTGGAGAACTTTCTGGAACAGGGAAGTGGAGAGGAGGAGGCCCAGATCTGCATGTTTGAGGGACCTTGGCCAATCCCCTGGCAGGAGGCTGGCCATGGTGACCAAGGCAACCTTCAAATATCACAGAGTCTGGAGGGCAGTGTGCAGTGTCAGGTGGATAGAGTGAGGAGGGCTGGAGTGTGTATCTACAGGCAGCTTACTGGAAAAGAGGATCTCCACTGTACCACTGTCTCCTGGGGAGGACAGCCTGAGCAGCAGAGAAGGAGCCAGCCCAACAAAAGGCCTGAAGGTAGCCACCAATCAAAAAAGCTGACAGGAAAGGACAATGGGAGTACACTTACACCCCCTGGGCCGGATAAGGAGAGAGGGCAGTCAGGTGCAAGACCCAACTAGCTTCTCATTGGACTGCTTGTGCTAAATTGGCAGCTTCTGGGACCCCTTGCCCAGGGACTACTAGTGCAGTCGGGTGAAGAGGAGGAATCATCCGGGGTCTGAGGAGGTACACTAGGAAGAGTCTTTGGGGCTTTTCAAGGAAAGAGACTGTTGCTGTTCACAATTTTGTACATAGTTGCTAAGGCATTTGTCCTTAAGTTCTGCAGTACCTCGGGCATCCCATATACCTCTAGACTCCATCCAAGTACTTAACCCCTTAATAAAATCACAAAACCAAGCTCAAGGACTGTTCTTTGACTCCAGTGTGCAAAGAGTGAAAAATGCGCGTTGCCTGGCTGTGCAGAGCTTAGGGGGGACCCAAAACTCAGTGACTCCTAAGGGGTTAGTGCTACATCTGCACTAACTGAGTGGACACGGACCTATCATCTGCCCGCTCTTGTCCAATCAGCAGGGGATCCGTGAGCGGATCCCTTGCTGATCGGAATGGAATCCGCTCCATGTAAAAGAGGCCTAAAGATGACTGTGAACAAGCATCTAAGTTTGCTTTACTGTTGAAGAGACATGGCATGCCTCTTCTGCAATAGAGCCTGCCTGCTAAAAATGTTTACAATTTTCAGTTTAGTTCCACTTTAACTTGAATTTTCCATGGTCCTGGTACAATGAATTTTGAAGCATCTTGCAGGGTAGGTTAATTATACCAAGAACTACTGATGGAAATCTCAATAGTGCAATTACCATTGTATTAAGAAACTGTCTGCAGGGTCTTTTACTGTATAAATAAAGACATTGGTTAAAGGAAATGTATTACCTTTACACAGCAGTCCCATATACAAACAGAGACGGCTAACATATTTTCATAATGTGCCATAAAAGATCAATTATTTTTCAAAAATGCTATTTAGTTCTTGCTCAGTTTATACCTATTATCAATAAAATATACATGTGTCCATGCCAAAAATAAATGTCCAGCTTGGTTAAAGGCTACGACAGAAAAGGTCACATGGCAGGGTGTTGGCAATGAATCAGTTTGTTTCAATAACAATTGGCCTCTTTCTTATATACCTTCAAGATTAATTTTGCCTGCTATTCCTGGAATGCAGTATATAACATACCTAAATACAACATGAAATATTCTGTCATGATAAAAATGAGTTCATACCCTCTGTTACCTTATGGGATAGCCCTTGTTTCCATATGAATCATTTACCTTTTCCTTATAGCACAGGCCATCTTCCCTATATTCCCCATTCTAAGACAGGATACAGCCATAACCTTCTATCATGATTGTAAACATAAAAAAACAAGGTACAGTTATAGTATATAAATACACATGCTAACTGCAAATGCAATCACACTATAATGGATTGCTAATAAATTATAATCTTTTCAAATGTGTGAGATAGGAAGCAAAAAGAGCTTTTCCTATGTATTCCTTTTTTTTATTCATCCAGACAACATGGTAGATATGTAGCTGGATGGACAGTAGAAGCAGGGAGGGGCTGTCTGTAATCAGACTCGGGGGAGATGGCAGGATTCCCCCATTGAGTGTTAAGGCAGTTCTTTTCTTTTCCATATCATAACATTCCCCATTCTTCCCATCCTAGAAATTATTGCGTGATTGGTACCCACCTGTCTGTTTTGGTGATGGAGGGATACAGGATGCTGAGCACAGCTCCTTCACTGCAGCTACACCAAACACTCACACCCTGCAACAAAGAGAAATGGGGGAGGAGAGACTGGAGGAAGGAGGAGGATAGTGAGAAGTGGCTGAGTGATTGAATATGGTCACACAGCGTTATGGGAGCAAATAAAAGGGAAAAGAAAGGGGGAGGAGAAATGGAGAAACCACTGGACGTAATGGCAGAGCCAGGTCTGCACACGTATTGCTAATAAATACTCCGATAACCAGGGAGAACATCACACAACGCCGAAAGGAATATTCTCCAATCATTGAAGTCCTGTCAATGTAACAGTAAAAAAATCCCCGCAGTTACCCATCTTGTTACGTTTATTAAAATAAGGACATCACTTGTATCGTCAATTCTAAGTAATATCTACTTAAAGAAGGCACAAGCAATAGGGGGCTTTGAAGCATAAAGACGAATCAACATAGTGGGGCATTAAGATGTATCTGCATTGCATTCTTCATTTTCTTAGCTATACCCCGTTATTACCTATTTTGCCCCCCTTTTGAGATTCTTCACTTCAGTGTGTCTTTCAAAACCAAAATGGCTGTTGGAATACCCTAAACCTGATGGCAGTTGCAGTTATTCACAGTGCAGCTTACAGCAACCCCAAGGGAGGAAGACATGTAGGGAAATCCAACAATGAGCTAATTAGCTAAAAGGTTTGTTATTTTACACAATGACAACTAATGAGTTGCAAACAATAGTCACATGGCTGGAAATACCAGCAATAACAAGTAAATGATAGGCTAGTGGCATAATGAATCGATCCTAAAGGGAATTCATCAGGTTTGTCAGGTAGCAATGTGAGAGTTTTGAATACCAGCTTCACTAATTCACTCCTCCAAGAATATATGAGGTCTAAGGCCTCGTTCACACGGACGTTCTGATCGGGTCCACCTGCCCATTTTCAAGGTGAACCCGATCGGAACCTCCATTCTCCTGTATGGAGTAGCAGGTGTAAACGGACACATGGATGGTGGCTCTGAGGAAGAGGTTCTGCCTCAAAACGCATCAGACACCCCAACAGCCACCATTTAGATAGATTGGACCATGCTGTCTTTTTTGTGATGTGCCTTTGATTTTATTCTTTTGTGAGTATACTACTTTTATTCAATAAATCTCATTTTTAGAAGGTAATGCACTAGGCCTGTGCGCCCTCTGTTTGTTTCTTTGCACACATAAACGGACACTCGCCAACATCCAATCCGATCTGCAAAAAAGGGACAGCTGGGGTTCCAATTCCCCTTCCGTCCGTCGGATCAGATCAGATGGAAACAGATAGGTGGTCCGTTTTCATCTGACCACTCATTGAGGAGAGCGAGCTGCTGTGTGTCTGCTCTGCAGCAGCAGAGCAGACACAGACCTGTCATCTGCTTGCTCAGCAGGGATCAGCAGATCCCCTAAATGGGTCACCCCGTGTGAAAGGACCCTAAGGCTAGGTTCACATCTACACATTTTTTGGGGATTTGCAGATCCACAGAAACGCACTACAATCCATTTAACCTTTTTTCTTATGAGTCTCATTCACATCTATGCAGTTTCCTTTCATTCATTTTTTGGAAAGGTGCAGGGACTTTTTTACAGGCAACAAAGTGCATTTTTGGCTCTATAGACTGCAATGGAATTGGAATTACGGGCAGACTCAATGGACTCAGATTTTTTTTTTCTGCCGTCACTTTTCTATGTTTCTATTAATTGCATGAAAAATGCATGTGCGTGCATATTCCTGCATGGCAACAGACACCTCCTCCTAGCAACATCAACACTTTGCATAAAAAAGCACAGCGCATCAAAAACATGCATGAAAAATGCAAAACGCGATGCAAAAACACATCAACCGCACATACATAGATTTATTATTTATTTTAGGTACTTATATAGTGCTGTCAATTTATGCAGCGCTTTACACATATAGATTGTACATTCACATCAGTCCCTAACCTTCAAGGGGTGTGCAATCTAGGGTCCCTAACTCACATTCATACATACACATACTAGGGCCAGTTTAGACAGGATCCAATTAACTTACCTGTGACGGGCATGGCGTCAGACCCAGACCTTCTCACCAACTCGTGACCGAAGGACTAGCCAATCTAAAACCGTGCTGCCACTTGCGTAACAATGCCACTCTCAGCTGCCCCCTGCACAGAGATTTTCCAGCTCACTGGACCACAATCTATGTGCCAGCTGCCTGAGAGTGATTGTTACTGGGCAAGGTTAATTACGCAATTAACCCTTCACACTGCCACCACCGCATTTTTTGTACAGAGAAGGAGGAAACTCGCTAATATTAGCAATAACACTATGATGTTTGTATAAGCGTCTGTATACCACTGTCACCGCATGCAGGGATATATAGAGGTTTTAAAAACACACAGTAGCGCTCTTCAGAGACAGGGATTCTTAGTTTGCATTAAAGAGCTTTAGATTAGCCGATTTTGAAATTGTACGACAGATGGCTGTGCAAATCACACAAAAAGTAGTACATGCACTGTGACGATCGCGGCATCAGACCCCCAGCCCTTCTCACCAACTCGTGACCGAAGGACTAGCCAATCTAAAACAGCGCTGTCACGTGCGTAACAATACCACGCTCAGCTGCACCCTGCACAAAGATTTTCCAGCTAATGGACCACAATCTGTGTATCTGCAGCCTGAGAGTGATTGTTACTGGGTCAGATAAATTACGCAATTAACCCTTCACACTGCCACCACCACCTTTTTGTACAGAGAAAGAGGAAACTCGCTAATATTAGCACTAACACTATGATGTTTGAATAAGCATCTGTATACACACTGTCACCGCAGGCAGATGTATGCAGAAGTTTAAAACACACAGCGCTCTTCAGAGACAAGGATTCTTAGTTTGCATTAAAGAGCTTTAGAAACAGTTCAACACTTTTTCAGAAAATAGGGGTCATTTGGTGTAATAAAAAAGAAAAAAAGTTGAAAACAATTATTATTTTTTTTTGTACTGTCACTAGTCAGTGTCCCTGATCACCTCCATACCAGTTATATGATGAAGCTGTACTGCACTGGTGACAGTATAATTTTCCAAAAAATTATGACAAAAAAATTACAACTTCCAAAAATTTGCCATGCCTCTAAACTAAATACCTTGGACAGTTCCTGACATTTTTGGGACTCAAGATATGAGATAGGCTGTCAGTACGTCAGGATTAATCGATTTACAGATATATACAATAGTTTGTGGACTCAATAACTTTCCTACAGACTAAATAATAAACACTGATTTGGGGTATTGTCACCAAAGAAATGTAGCAGCATACATGTTGGCCTAAATTTATGAAGAAAAAATTATTTATTTGCAGAAGCAAAGGAAACAATGTTTTTTTTCCCACAATTTTCAGGGTTTTTTTGTTTCTTTGCCAAACAAAACCCAGCAGTGATTAAATACCTCCAAAAGAAAGCTCTATTTGTGTGAAAAAAATTATAGAAATCTAGTTTGGGTACAGTGTTGCATGTTGTAATTGTCATTCAAAGTGCGACAGTGCTGAAAGCTGAAAATTGGCCTGGGCAGGAAAGGGGTAAAAGTGCCTGGTATTGAAGGGGTTAAAGTGGCTGTAAAGGCTAAAGGTTGTTTTTACCTTAAAGGATAAGTTCACCTTCTGAAAAAAAATAAAAATAAATGCACATTTGTTTTTTTGGAGCCCTAAAAGCATTGCATCCATGATCAGCAGATCGCGGGTGCAATGTCAGACTCTTGCAGATTGTCAGTACACTGTCTGCTTGTATATGGGCAGGCAGTTACTGAAGTCCAGGAAGATCAATGGACTATGAGAGCATTCGCCAGCGCCCTCACAATCCATTGAGAACCAGAAGCCATCAGCCGCAAAGGCTGACGGTACTTGTAGGCATTCATTCACAGGAAACTGTGAATTAATGACGCGGATGTATAGGCGGAGCCCCACTCGGCTGCTTTATTTTCAAGTTGTGACAGTGGGCACAGGGAGGAGGTCCTCTGCATGCTGTAACAGGAGGGAAGGGGGGGAGAGTCTGCAGCTGCTGGAATATGTAACATGTTCCAAAAGGTGAACTTATTCCTTAAAGCATTCTCTGTATTAAGGCAAAAACCTATTGCCAGCCCCCCTAAATATTTATCTGAGCCTGATCTCGATCTAATCCTATGCCTGAGAGCAGAATGGCTCTTTCCCTCCTCACTGGACTCAGTGAGAGCAGCAGGAGCCATTGGCTTCTGCTGCTGTCAATCAAATCCAGTGACAAGGGAGCGGGGGATCAAGCCCACACAAGTGCACCCCGAGCAAGCGGCTTGCTAGGAGGGTACTCGGCAGGGGGTAGGAGCCAGGTGTACTGGTGGGGAACCCAGAAGAGGAGGATTGCACCAACACCATTGTAGATCACTATAACGTGTTATTTTTATTAAAAAACAAACAAAAAAAGATCCTTTACAATTACTTTATACAGATCTAGGATATCAGGGGTTTGGAGTCATTCTTTAACAACTTGCCCTCCAGAAAATATATCCCCCTTCATGCCCAGGCCATTGTTTGCAATATGAGGCTGCGTTATAACTGACAACTGCACGTTAATGCAACACTGGACATAAATAACATTTGTCATTTTTTCCCCCCACGAATAGAGCTTTCTTTTGGTGGTATTTGATCACCTGTTTTTTTTTTTTTTTTTGCGCTATAAACAAAAAAAGACTGACAATTTTGAAAAAAAAAAAACCCTATATTTTTGACTTTTTGCTATAAAACATATCCAATAAAAAAAAAATTTTATAAAGAAAAAGTTTCATAAATTTATGCCAAAATGTATTCTGCTACAGTATATTTCTTTGGTAAAAAAAGATACCAATAAGTGTATATTAATTGGTTTGAGTGAAGTTATAGTGTCTACAAATGGTGGTATATATACTTTTTTCTTTCTTTCTTTTTTTAATACTAGTAATGGCGGCAATCAGGGACTTACAACGGGACTGCAGCGGCATTCTGACACTAACTGACACTGGGTGGGAACTGACTAACTGCCACTGACATCTCCAGTGACACTAATACAGTGATCAGTGCTAATAAAAAGCACTGACACTCTACTAATGACACTGGGCAGGAAGGGGTTAACATCTGGGGCAATCAAAGGGTTAACTATGTACTGTTTTTACTGTGTTTTACTAGGGGAATGCGCCTTTACTAGGGGAAGGTGCTGCTTCTTATCTCTCTCTGCTTTGCAGAAATAGAAGGCAGCATGTCCCTACTGACAATGATAGACACCTGTGTTGTTTACACACAGATCTCTTCCCTGTCAGCTTCTCATCACTGTCCAGGAACCAGGGATTGACATCTTCGGGAGCCAAGGACAGCGCGGGTTGGGCAGCACGCACCCCCTACCCGGAAATGCGAAATCACGTATATTTATGTGATTTTGCACAGTGTGGCTGCCCTGTAGCAGTAAATTTGCAATGGGGCGGTTTAACTAACTAAAAATACGGTGACTCTCTGCAACTGAGGTTCCCAGTATGGTTGCTATTTCTAGTGCGGGCAGCGTGCCATTAGAATTAATGGCACCCGCCTGCGGGTCCCGCATTTCTCTGTGTGGGTGGTGCGGGGAACCAGATGTAACATGCTGGAGGGCTGACTGTCACTATGGGGTGCATTTATAAAAATACCACATTATGGCCACTAGATGGTGCTGAGTAGAGATGAGCTTTGGCATCCTCTGAACTCATCTCTAAGGCTGGCCATACATTATACAATTTTCTTGTACAATCTTCTTTTAACTTACCAAAACCATATATGAGGTTAAGCCTATACACTTTCAATTTGTATGCTATCAGGCAGGCCCTTGTTCTACACAGGTTAACCACTTGCCTACCAGGCACTTATACCCCCTTATTTACCAGGCCAATTTTCAGCTTTCAGCGCTGCCGCACTTTGACAATTGCGCGGTCATGCAACATTGTACCCATATGAAATTTTGATCATTTTTTTCTCACAAATAGAGCTTTCTTTTGGTGGTATTTAATCGCCACTGGGTGCTTTACTTTTTGCGCTATAAATACAAAAAGTGCAAAAAATTTGAAAAAAAAAAAAAAAAAAGTTTCTTTGTTTCTATTATAAAATTTTTCAAACAGGTAATTTTTCTCCTTCACTGATGTGCGTTGATGAGGCAGCACTGATGGGCACTGATAGGCGGCACTGATAGGCAGCACTAAAGGGCACTGATAGGCAGTACTAAATGAGGTGGCACGGATAGGCGGCACTGATAGACAGCACTAATGAGGTGTCACGGATAGGCGGCACTAATATGAAGCACTGATAGGCGGCACTGATAGGTGACACTGATGATGGGTACTGATAGACGGCACTGACTGGCATCACTGCTGGGCACTGACTGGCGGCACTGACTGGCACAACCCCTGGGCACTGGTGGGCAGCACTGGTGGGTGGCACTGGTGGGTGGAACTGGTGGGTGGGCACAGGTGGGTGGGCACAGGTGGGTGGCACTGCTGGGCACAGGTGGGTGGCACTTCTGGGCACAGGTGTGTGACACTGTGTGACACTGCAGAGTGGCACAGGTGGGTGCACTGCTGGCCACAGGTGGGCGGAGCTAGTGGGCGCACTGCTGGGCACAGGTGGGCGGAGCTTGCGGGTGGCACTGCTGGGCACCGATCATCAGGGCACTGATCATCAGTGCCCTGATGATCGGTGCCGATCCCCGCTCTGACAACTGCCGGTTCTCGGCAGTAGTTTCCTCACGATCTGACAGCGTGAGGAAAGTGCAGCCGAGAACCGGAACTTGCATTTTCCTCTGATCAGCGTGTCATTGGACACCGCTCATCACGTGGTAAAAGGCCGCTGTGATTGGCCTTTTACCACATCACGTGATCAGCTGTGTCCGTAGGACACAGCGATCACGAAGATCGCCAGGTGCGCGCCCCCTGGGGCGCGCAGGAGAGTGCGTTCTGGGAGGACGTCATATGACGTCCACCCAGAACTGGCCGGCCGCAGTGTAGCCGGCATTCGGCTATCTGCAGTCGGCAGGTAGTTAAGGTAAATCTAAAGAAATTTGAATAAGAAAATTGTATAATATATGGTCAGCTTCAGGCTATATTCACATGAGCGTTTTGCCTCGGAGCGAATGGCAATGGCCAGAATCTACAGGTGTGAGCAGCTAGCTGCAAATGACAAGGCCATACACTTCAATGACAGGCTATCAGATTCGCGCAGCCAGCGATTACTTAACCACTTGCTGACCGCAGATAGCCGAATGACAGCTTCACTGTGCCTGGCCAATTCTGGGAGGGCGTCATATGATGTCCTCCTAGAACGCGCTCTCCTGCGCGCCCCCGGGGGCGCACCCCCCGGCAATCTCCGTGATCAGCTGTGTCCGTAGGACACAGCTGATCACGTGATATGGTAAACAGCCAATCACAGAGGCCTTTTACCACGTGATCAGCCGTGTCCAATGACACACTGATCACTGGGAAATGCAATTGCCGGTTATCGGCTGCACTTTCCTCATGCTGTCATAGCATGAGGAAAGTACTGCTGAGAACCGGCAGTTGTCAGAGGAGGGATCGGCTCCGATCATCAGTGCCCTGATGATCGGTGCCCATCAGTGCCACAGACCAGTGCCACCCATCAGTACCCATCAGTGCCCAGCAGTGCCATCAGTCAGTGCCCAGCAGTGCTGACTAGCAGTGCCCATCATCAGTGCCCATCAGTGCTGCCTATCCGTGCCACCTATCAGTGCTGCCTATAAGTGCCACCCATCAGTGCCCATCAGTCCTGCTTATCAGTGCAGCCTCATCAACGCACATCAGTGAAAGAGAAAAATTACCTGTTTGCAAAATTTTATAATAGAAAAAAAGAAAAAATTTTTTTTTTCAAATTTTTTTTTTTTTTGTTAATAGCATAACAAATAAAACACCCAGCGGTGAGTACATACCACCAAAAGCTCTATTTGTGTGAAAAAAATTATAAAAATGTCATATGGGTACAATGTTGCATGACCACGCAATTGTCATTCAAAGTGCAACAGCGCTGAAAGCTGAAAATTGGCCTGGTAAGGAAGGGGGTATAAGTGCCCGGTAGGCAAGTGGTTAAAGTGATCACTGCTGGACGCACCTAATCGCCGCTGTGCAAACAGCCATGAATAGCTGAGGCCGCCGACAAGGATGAGCTAGCTGCCAATCACAGCAGCAGGAATCAGTAGATTCTTACCATTGCCATTTGCACCATGGCAAAACACTCATGTAAATGTATCCAAACCTGAACTCCCACTTTTTTGTACTCCAATGAGCTGCGGACTGGGTCATATGAGTTCGGATTAGAAATCAGTTCAGAGGATGCCTCAGCTCATCTCTAGTCCTGAGGAGTAAAGTGCATGTTTATTTCCTATGACAGCCAGCTCCATCTAGTGGCCAATGTAGTAATTTCTGCATTCACGCTTTCGAATTGCAGGAGAATCTAGCCTGAGAACATTCGATTTTCCCCATTTACACTATGGTCACACTGGTACAATGTGGCCAGCAGTTTCTAGTGTTGAGTGCTGGACAACTGAAGCGTGGACAGAAGTCAGACATGTTACTTTGCATTCATAGACCTCCTTCACAAGGGGTGTATGCTCATGTGAGAACGTGTTACAAATGTTCTGTGCATCCCTGTGCAGGCAGTCCCATTGATGTTAATTGGGATGCAGTGGCTGCACAGACACAGGTGCTGCCCCTAATTTGACATCTGTATGAATGCACATCTCTGAACTCACTGTCTGTGGTTAGGGCCATGCACCCACCTAGCTGTCTAATTGGGAGCAGCAGCTGTGTCCTTGCAGCCAGTGGATCTCAACTGAAATGAATGGGACTGCCTGTATGGGGTTGCAGAGAATGACGGTGCATCACCATGTGGGCAAACGTGGCCCTCGTACAAGTGAACACTGTAGTGTGAACAGAGGGCACACCGGCCTAGTGCATTATCGTAAAAAATATTTATTGAAAGGATAAAAAGTATGTATCGTACTCACAATTGACATACAGGACAAAGGCCTGGACTCTGAAGTCCTCAAAATGTGTTAGCCTGTTGGAAGTCCAGGGTTCCATTTATGGACTTATATGCAGTGTGGATTGGACACCGCTGTTTAGTGTGATGTGTCTTTGTCCTGTATGTCAATTGTGAGTACGATACTTACTTTTTATCCTTTTAATAAATATTTTGTACGATAATGCACTAGGCCGGAGTGCCCTCTGTTTGTTTTCTTTGTATCCAGTGACATTGGATTACCCCGGTCTGTTAAGGGCAGCAAGGAGTGCCTATTCCAGGACATCTGAGATGTTACCATAGCCCAGGGGTGGGAAACTGTGGACCTCCAGCTGTTGGTGAACTACAAGTCCCATCATGCCTCGGCCTTTGGGAGTCATGCTTGTAACTGTCAGTTTTGCAATGCCTCATGGGACTTGTAATTCTACAACAGCTGGAGGGACACAGTTTCCCACCCCTGCCATAGCCCTAGTTGAGTCCGTCCCCAAGAGCAGGAGTACAGAGTTTGCTGTGCTCTCGAACACTGTAGTACGCCCTGAATGAATGAGGCCAAAAAAGGTCAGCCTTATACGGCTGTTTAAAGTAGTTGTAAAGGCTCAAGTTTTTTACATTCATGCATTCTGTGTATGAAGGTAATACACCTTCCCCTCCAGATACTTACCCGAGCCCCATTGCGATCCAGCGCTGTACATGAAAGCCTCTCCCTCCTCTTTGAGAGAGCAGATGGAGCCATTGGCTCCTGCTGCTGTCAATTACAGCCAGTAAGCCAATGAGGAAAGAGCAGGGGCAGGCTGAGCCGCACTCCAAGTGTGAATAGACACACAGAGCAGTAGCTTGGGAGCGAGCCTGCTCGGATGCCCCCATAGCAAGCTGCTAGCTATGGGGGCACTAGGAAGGACAAAGGGGCCTGGAACCCCAAAAGGAGATTGGGACTGCTCTGTGCAAAACCATTACACAGAGCAGGTATGACATGTTTGTTATTTTTTTTATTGTCTTTAATATCATTTTACAGTTCATAGTGTAATTCTAGGGTGATTGATCACTTTCTCGTTGAATGTTAAAGCAACACATTTATTTGTTCCAGTTTAAAGCGGTATTAAATCATAACCAAAAAAATGGAATCTATTGGAGTTTACCAATCATTAGATGTGGTGGCATTCGTTTTCTTTTTCCATGTTTTCACCTGGGGATTTGGCCAGTACATCTCCTATATTAGAGTGTCCCAAATCTGGATGAATGACACAGGAGGCACAGCAGCATTATCAGTTTGGGGAGAGGAATTATTAAATGTATTAGCAGATTTAAATACACTAATTGAAGCCAAACTCTAGCTAGTTCTTTATAATCAGTTCCAGCTGTTTTTTTTTCTTTTGGGATAAAGGTTTTACATAATTAAAAGCTGATCATTGCAAGCGATCTTCAATTAAATGGTTTCTCTCATCTCTGTAACTGATACATTGTGCTGGAGAGCTTGTTTTGAAAAACAGACTTAGGCTGGCCATACACTATACAATTTTCTGTCCAATTTCCTTTAGATTTACCTTCAACTATGTAGTGCGAGAGCCTGCTAATTGGATACATTTGAAAGTGTTGTTAGTTTTGACCTCCTTTTTTATGGTTTTTGGTAAATCTAAACCAAAAATCTCAAGAAAATTGTATAATGTATGGTCAGCCTAAGGCCTAATATGGGGTCAAACCTAAGCAACACTTTCAATTGTATCCAGTTAGGCTCTCGCACTACATAGTTAAAGGTAAATCTAAAGGAAATTAGACAGAAAATTGTATAGTGTATGGCCAGCATTAGGCCCCTTTCAGACAGGGTGGATCCCTCAGCGTAATCCGCTTGCTCAGCAGGGGATCTCTCGGCTGAACAGGCGGATGACAGGTCTCTGTCGACACTGCTGCAGAGTGGACACAGACACTGCCTGCTGATTTCAATGGGACAGTTGGATGGAAATGGACCGCCTGTCCGTTTCCACCTGATTGTTTTCCGATCTGATCCGCTGAACGGATATGGAATGGATCCCCATCCATCCATTTTGGCGTACAGGATTGGATGAGTATTGTCTGCTGACCTCTAGAAGTCTATGGATGGACCAATCAAATCCACCAGAAAAATGGACAGGTGGACCCCATTGGTCCGCTCGTGTGAAAGAGGCCTTACTGGCTGGATCACCAGATGAAAAGAAAGAAAGCCTAAAAAAGAAAATGAATGCAGCCGCCACATCTAAGAATTGGTAAGCTGCAATATAATAAAAGTTTGTTTTGGGGAGTAATAAAATAAAGCCCAGCAGAGTTCACCAGCATGCTTCCAGTATGACCACAATCCAGACTGGGGCCTAACCAGAGACTCTGACTGCAGGAAGACAGCCCCAGCCCTACCTCAATGCACATTACTGAGCCATTAACATTCAGAGCAAAGCGTGCTTCCCCTTCTAATGGCACCTCTGCCAAGATTTCTGGACGGCTCATCTCTGAGGAGAGGAACACATAAATGTACGCTTGTCCCCCCCTCCCCTTGTACAGGACTATACCACCCGGAATCCGCTCCCCCGCCTACAAACCAGCCAATCACAGCACGTCTCTAACATCTTCTAGTATGAAATGAAAACGGCTTATCATTGGTCACTTCTTTCTGGTCTGATAATTGGCTGTGGTTGCGGTGGGCGGGGTTGGATGCAGCAAGCACGGAAATGGTGTGTGTCAGAGCTCATTGCTGGCAGATGAATGCAGCGTGAGAGGTCCATGGGCGGTATGTGACTGTTT